TTCATTTTCCACACAGCAGTTCATACACAGGAGCTCTGGTGGCATAGTGCCTAAGGCATTTGACTACTAACCAGAAGGCCGGTGGTTCAAACCCACCCGCCACTCCTCGGAAGGAAGGTTGGACAATCTACGTCCATAGAGATACCACCTTGGAAACCCAAGGAGGGGTCACTATGAGTCAGATCCGATTTGACAGCAGTGAGTTGTTTGGTTTTTTTTTTTAAAGTTCATAACACATTTTGTTTCATGACATTGCCTGCAGTTCCCCACAGTGTAGCAGTTCTCTTCATCCTTCCTCCCTGTAGTTACTTCTTCCCTTCTTTCCTGTGCATTTCTGTCCCCTGAGCTATCTCCCTGTATAAATACTGCCCTTCTGTTCTGCTGTGATTGATCACTCTAAGGAGTGTATCTAACTGATGTAATGTTCACCCTGTATGCCTGTCTTTTGTTTGGCTGGAAGCCACAGGAGTGAGTTCAATTCCAGACCTGAATGGTAACTAGGGGCCATAGTCTTAGGGGTCTCACCAGGAAACCTGGTCTTTTTTATGAATTTGAGTTTTGTTCCACAGTATACTCACACTCTAACCAGGATCTCTTGAGCTGATCCTTTTCCGAGTGGCTGACAGTAGTAGCTGGGCACCATCCAGTTCTTCTGGTCTCATGGTCATATAGGCTGAGGTTTGCATGGTCCACTAGTCCCTTGGACTAATTGTTTCCATGGGTCTTTGGTTTTCTTTATTTTTCTTTGCCCTGGATGAGGAGAGACCCATTGTTGCCTGTAGATGGCTGCTTGCAAGCTTTTAAGACCCCAGTCTCTACTCACCAAAGTAGGATTTAGAACAATGTTTTTGTGTAGTATGTTATGCCAGCTGAACTTGACGTTCCCTCTGACCATGGTCCCAAACCCACAGGTCCAACAACTAGCTCCATTAGGGTGGTTGACTGTGCCTAAGAAGTTACCTTAACTTTGCCACCTGTTAGTTCCTAGAACCTCTTTTGCTGAATTGCAAACTTAGGCATTTTGGCTTTGGCTTACTTTGAAGCTATGGCTAAAAATAGTTGAAAATTATGAAGCTTGTGCTCTATCTGCTATTGTTGAGGATGTTGCCTACTAAATCACACAGTATCTCTTTAGGAGAATCCATAGAGGAGATTTTACCCTGGTCTCAGTACCAGGAGATGCCACACTTAAGATAAACTGGTTTGTTTTTATCTTTTGGACATAACTGTGAATTATGCTGTTGGTTCTGTTTTCCTCTTTGCTTAGGCTGCTAGGACACTCAGAGCCATATATGTAAGGATTTTTGTGTACTAATCCACCCCACCCCAAACTCCGGGTTTTATTTTCCTTCCTTTTCCTCCCGCTATTCTTTCCTACAGATGCACAGAATGCATGACCTGTTTACCATTGGCAGTGGTGAGGCGATGTTGCAGCTCATGCCTCCCTTCCAGTGCCGGAGACACTGCCAGTCCGTGGCGCTGCAGCTAGAGCCAGGGGATATCGGTATGAAGGGCCCTGGGGGGCAGGGTCTGCCACAGGATCTTTTTTGTTTTTAACTCAGAAAATATTCTGAGCATCAGCTACTGCTTTCACAGATGTTCATTGAAATGGAATCAAAAACAGCTCTTATTAATAGGGCCTATATTTATGCTTAAAAATGGAGCAACTAATGAGAATACACAGCAGAGAGAAATTTCTTGTGTATACAGCATTTCAGATGCATGTATCCATTGGCCATAGAAAGATTGGGTTAGACAAAATTCTGGCACATATCTCGACCAAACCCTCTTTTTTTACAGATAAGGAAATTGAGATCCAGAGAGGAGATGTGACCATGTCAAGGCCCCACTATCAGTTAGGCAATACAGCAAGTCTTAATGGACTGTTTTTACAGAATCAAGCCAAGGAAGGGACAGTTCAAGATTAGAGCAAACCCTTTATATGCCAATTTTGCTAATAAAAGAAAGCAAGAAATACGTAGGGGCAACAGCACCCAAGGAAATGCTGCCTTCCAAGGAAAGGCTGCCTTCAGCGTGGATCCCACAGCTAAGTTGTAGCAGCATGTTGACGACTCACCCTTGACTCTGGCTCTGTGTTTTCCCAACAGTGACTTGTTCTGTGCTTAAAATTCTAAAAGTCTGTTCCAGAGAAACAAGTTTGAGTCAGCTGCTGTCAGTAGCTATCAGTTGGTCAGCAGAATTTTCTTGGCTGAAACAAATAAACCAACAAATGTCACCATCAACCTCCTTGTTTTTTCCTGCCTCACAGAACCTTAGGCCTGCATCTCTGGCAGAGCCCAGACTGGTTTTCCAATTTATTTCATTTTAACCACTCAGATGACCTTCCAAATCTCTAGAAACCTCTCATCCCATATAGAGTAGGGGATGGACTACAAACACAGCCAAGCTTCAATCTGAGTTACATAAACCTTATTTCAATTTAGAAATGAAAAAATAAAAGTAATGCACCAATTAATCATTAACTGATATATAATGTACAAATTAAGCAATAACAGCTGGCTTGGTCCTTGGGGGAAAAAGAGATTTCTTGTATGGAAATTGTTCCAAATTATTTTCCTGTAGTTGGGTGGCCCTTACAGAAGGAATTGCAAAACTCTGGATGGCATGTTTCAGTTTGGAGTATGTAGTTGTACTGTAAATAAGTTTCTGTCTTCTACAAATGACTGTTTCAGAAACTATAGAAACACCTCTTTTATCCAGAATTCCAGATTTCTGGTTTCCATAAGCATCCAGAATACCAATTCTAAAATCAGGAGAGGGGAAAAGAGAATAAAGAGTCTTTGGCAGTGATCAAAGAAGCTTTGAGGAGCCAGCACTAGTGCGGATCTTCCAGAACCCAAACCCAAACTAACTGCCATCAAGTTGATTCTGACTCATAGCAACCTCTTTTGGGTTTCTGAGCAGGTAAATCTTTATAGAAGTAGATAGCCCCACCTTCTGTGGCATGGCTGGTAGGTTTGAACCGCCAACCTTTTGGTTAGCCTTCAGCACTGTACCACCAAAGCTCCTTAGATCAAACAAACAAACAAAAAGAAACAAATTCACTGCCGTCAAGTCAGATCCGAATCATAGCGAGCCCTCCTTGGGTTTCTGAGGCGTATCACTACAGAAGTAGATTGCTCAACCTTCCAAGGAGTGGCTGGTGGGTTTGAACTGCCAGCGTTCTGGTTAGCAGTCAAATGCCTTCGGCACTACACCACCAGAGTTCCTGTAAATTAACCAGAAGAGCCTGAAAACTATGGGCTGATCCCTTCCATGGGCTGGTTTGTTAACTGAAGGAAAGGGATCTTGTGGTTGCAGTTTCTATAAAAGGCCACATGACATGAGCACCAAGAAGGGATGGGAGACTGAATTGAAGAAGGAGGGCAAGTCTGGGAGAAGAACCAGAGTGAGATGGGGTTGGGAGAACAGTGGGCCCCCAAAGAAAGGGTAGAAATAGAAAAATGGTTACAGCTACCGCAGGTAAAAGTGAGGACAGGAATCAGACCCTGACAATGGGAGGGTCCTAGAACAATTTAGTGCCTGTAGAGCAGATGACCACTGCAGTGGTCATTGCAGATGACCACCATTGCCTCAGAGTCTCCTATGCATGGCACTTGATTAGCAAGACCCATGCTTTTTGACAAAATATGCATTGTCCCTGTGGGGTTAAGGGGAGCAGGGACAGGAATTCCAGATCATCAGAAAATTTTGTTGGAAGCTTTTTCAGAAATGGTATAGGGTCAGACATCAGGGTCTGATGCCGTCCAGCATATACCACCTACATACGATTATGTATAGCACAGTCACTGTTCATAGTGACCTTCCTTGAGTCTCCAGTAGAGGTTAAGTTACATTCAATGCTACCAGTTTAAAGATGGGGAGGGAAGCATTATGTACTTTAGGAAAATATCCATCAGCAGATTCTTGAAATGCTAAAGTTCTTAAAGTTATCAAGTTTGCCTTCCTAGCCCTAAAGTGATACAGGTCAGCGTTCCCTCAGTGATTCTTTAGATCACTCATGACACCAGGGATGAGAACAGAAGCCCCTTAGAAAAGCCTTTGGCAAAAAGGGCTCTTGAGTCAGTTGACTGTGGAAAATGCCTGCTTTATGGATGCTTCATGTACATTAGTGTACCTGAGGCTCCAAAAAGCCTGGAGGAATCTAGTGTTTCTCAGATTTACTTGACCGTGCAATCCCTTTTCCTCCTAAGATATTCCAGTATCTTAGGAGATACCACTATTTGCAGAACAGAATTTGGGAAGAGCTGGTTTGGTTAATCGAATGTTCTGTGAGGCCAGTTGTATTAGAGATAACCTCAAGAGAAACGGGGGTTCTGCTCCCTTTCAGAACCTATCCCATATTCTTGCTGAAACAGATGAGGTCAGTCTGTGAATGGATGCCCAGCCCCAGCCTCACCTAAAGCATCCTGCCTTCGTAAACCAGCCCAGGTATCGTTCTCACTTGCCTAGGTGAGGGTTGGTAATGAAGCACTTTCATTCAGAGTGTCTTCTGTTGTGTATTAGGTTACAGAGAGGACTGACCCTAACTAGTAATAGTGATGCCAGAAAGAGCCAGAAGAACTTCAAATCAGCATTTCCTCTGTCTGTAGGTGCTCTTGAGGCAGACTCCAACAGACCCACCTTGCTCTTGCCCACTGGTGTTCCCAGGCCCTGACTTTAATGTGCTTTCCTGTTGCTGTTTCCCTTCAAGGCTATGCCGGTGCCACCCACTGGAAGGTCTACATTATAGCCAGAGGGGCAAAGCCTTTGGTCATCTGTGATGGAACCATCCTCTCAGAACCATAGGAAACAGAACTCTATACAGGAACAGCTTTGAGAGCTGAAGACCCGGCTGAAAGGGGGAAAATAAAAATGATGACACCGCTTTCTGGGGGTTGGTTACTTAGTTGCCTGCCCTTTGCATGTGTGTGTGAGCCAGCCATGTGCTGGAGCAGTGGCCAGGGCCCCGCCCTCCCAACTCTTCATGCATATGGCCCGGAAGGTTTCCAACCCACACTGCTTGGCAGAGAATAATGTCAATGTCCCCCCTCACCTGCATGGGCATAATCCCCTCTGTGGCTCTCTGGCCATGGAGAGGCAGGCAGGAGGTTCCAACTTCAGAGCTATATCTGAATTGGATTGATCTGGAATATCCTGCTTATTATCCCCACCCTTCCTGGCCACATCATCCTGTACGTTTTTGGAAAGCCATGGCTGAGTAAAGAAATCATTGCAGTTTCCCACGCAGAACAGAATCTAGAACGAGTGGAGAAAAATGAAATGACTGTGACTTACACTCAGGAGGGCACTTCTTTGCCAGTGTCCATGGCACTTAGAGGCTCAGTGATGCCAGCCTGGAATCTGATTTTAATTTGGAATAATAGTTCCTAAGGTAGCTCTGGTAGCGAAGTGCCTAATGCACTTGACTGCTAACCAGAAGGCTGTCGGTTCAAACCCACCAGCCACTCCTTGAAAGGAAAATGGGGCAATCTGCTTCCGTGGTGATACTGCCTTGGAAACCTAAGAAAGGGGTAGCTATGAGTTGGATCCGACTCGAGGGCACATAACAATAACAACAAGGTAGTACTTTTCTCCATTTTATCAAGTTCTCATGCCCCTGCCCCACTAGCTCCCCTTCTTCTTTGCTTGTTTGGTTGGTTTCTCAGAAGTTCAATTCCTGACCTTCCTTCCTTCCCTTGGCCAAGGCTGGAGCCCTGACAGCTGAGACAGCACCACTCCTGCCGATCACTGCTGACTTTACAAGTGTCTTCACAGGGGGATAAGTAAGAGTGGCTGCTGGCCTGGAAGAGGGTGCCTCCCTGGGTTTGATCTTTAGGACCTGCAGTTCTGCAGGGGAAGATGTCTTACAGATGTGTCAAGCTGATGTTGTAATGTGGTTGGGGGAGGAACTCCAGACACCAAGCATTTGCCAGCTGGGTGTGTGACTGATACTCTGTCTTAAAACGATTTCTTTGATTGTGCTGGGAAACAAGGTGAGGTTTTTATTTTCTGTAATGATATAAAGCTGCATTCTTTTGATTTGATGATTCACTATCTTCATCGTTTTTCCCAAATGCTTTCAGTATGTATGAATCAAATGGTATAAATAAGGACACTCTTGTTCCCTTTTCGTTTTATCAGTACCGTTAGGTACCTGGTCATGCCTTTGCCAAGATGAAGAAAAAGTAAACTACACTGTGGCCTTTCCTTCTGAATTGCAGAAACCAAGAGGCTTCAATAGGTGTCTGTTGTCATAGTTACAGGCCAGAGCAATCATGGTGAATGAAAGTGATAGGGACCCCTGTGGGGTTCTCTCCCTCTGTTTGTCTCCCAGGCCTTCCCTCTCTCTGCACATCGTATGAGGATCTGTGGGGATTGCTGAGTACTCAAGTGGCCGGTCTGTCTGTGGGTTTATAAAGGACAGGCAGCATTCACAGAGTTCAGGGCTGGAAACACTCAGAGCCTCTTGCATGGGCTTGAATGAAACCAGGATGGATGATACCTGAGGGAATTGTTCACTAAAAGAACTAGCCCTTTGTGTAGATTACAACAGGAAAAACAAGACTCTTTGTACATACAAAAGTCACACTGCTGAGCAATTGTGATTTGAGAGGCTTTAAATCAGAGGGATCATTAGAGGCTAGCTTTGTGCAAGCTTTTTGAACCTCTCCGCAGTGTCTTAACCCTGCTGCCAATGGGGAAGGATCAGATGTAAACAAGTTCTTTCAAGGGCTCTCAAAGTTTTCTAAATTAGGCCTTTTGAGTTAACAAGAGAGAAGTTGCCTTAGGAGGAAAGCAACTATTGTGTTTACTGAGATGGCTGTTTTGCTTTTATAAATTACCCAGTGCTCTTTCTCCATTTTACTCCTGCCCTTCACACCTTAAATGTCCATAAAGGACCTACCCACTTCAGCTCAAAACTTTGAAAATAAGACCCCCTTGCACATGTTGGGTTCTGAGGCATCCCCCTGGGCAGTCCCCCAAGCTGTGAGCTAGCTCAGCAATTCAGTAAACAGTGGTTATGTTGTTGGGTGTCATTGAGTTCGTCCTGACTCATAGTGAACCTGTATGACAGTTGGACTGCCTCACAGGGTGCACTACACTGTAGTCTTTATGAGAGCAGATCGTCAGGCCTTTCCCCTGTGGGTTCAAACTTCCAACCCTTCGGTTAGCAGCCGAGTGCTTGACCAGTGGGCCACCAGGCTCCTTAGCAGTAGTTCAGCAATGCAACAAAGAATGGTTGTAACAGCAGAGGAGACTTCTGTGCGTGTGTTACTCATTTCACTTAAAATCTACCCAGACTCGAGTATAGATATATTTCAGAAGGGAAATTTTCCAAAGAGGGGTTCCTTGCTCTTAGTTAGTGGATAAATAGAAGTAAATCACCTTCTTAAGGTAATTCTGATTAGCCTTTGACCAATTCTACAGGAATGACTTAGAGTTGCCAGCCAGTCCTTTCCAGTGATCCAAGGATTTGTGTGTGTGTTCTGGGGGTGGAGGGTGCCACACACAAGTGCTCTTAGCCCTAGATGCAAGTGACAGAAATCCCTCTGCATGACCCGGTGGATGTGGGAAAGAGGGTCATCGAGATGAGGAAGCAGTGTTAAGGAGATGATGGTGAGACCACCTAACCAACTCCCCGTCTCTGCCACCGCAATAAGAACAAAACTACGGGGCTCTAAAAAGAGGGACTTGCTCACGAGTGTGTTGAGTGTTGACTAAGAGGTGACATGACAGTGACCTCCACATTTGGTTTAGGTTCACCTAGCCTGTAGATTTCTTGGAGCAAAGATTTGTATCCCCAGAAGTCAGTTCTCTGGAGAAAGGCCGCTTTGGTCCCAGTTTGAACCATTTATTCCCAAATGCCCTGAACTCTCCAGTAATCGAGTGTTTTTTGTAATTTGTTTTATTGTGCTATTCCAAAGTTTACAGAGCAAATTAGTTTCCCCATTCAATAACTTGTACAGTGGTCCTTGACATTGGTTGCATTCCCTACGATGTGTTGGCACTCACCCCATTTCTGTCCTGGGTTCCCAGTTTCCTTCTACCCTTCCCTGTCTTCTCATCTTTGCTTTGGGGAAAATGTCCTTTTGATCTTGTATGATTGATTGTTCTAAGGAACTTGTTCCTCTTGGATGTTTATTTTTATTTTATGGGCTAGTCTGTTGTTTGGCTGAAAGGTGATCTTTGGGAGTAGTAAGTATTGAATGGATACTACAGTTGTTCTGGTTGATGAAAAGAGGCAGGACTTACACTCACCTCTCGATTTATTTAGGGAAAGAAAGAAAGAAAGAAAATATTAATTGTATATGAAAACTGAGTCAATTGAGTGAAATACAAAACAGCCTATGAAATGAGCAGATTTGGACACATTTTCTCAGAGACAAGAATACTGACATTTGTCTAGTCCTTTCCAACTTACGTAGTACCTTGATATACATAATCTGTAATCTTCACTCAGCCCAGTAAAGCACGTATTATTAGATCTTCATTTTACCAGTAAAGAAACGGGCTTAGAACAGTTAGCAGTTGGTAGGCAGGAGTTTGGAGCCCACTCGCAGGTCCTCTGGTTGCACAGCACCATATTTTCCTGCTACATTACAACGTGGAGCCAAGGAACAAGGCTCTGGCTTCAGTTGAGTGGGATATAGCCCCATTTGGGTAGAAGGACTGAGGGATAAGGGTCAGAAAGTCAGGAGCTCTTCAAGGTTTGGTTTATTTTTCCAAAACTGTTTTGAACAGAAACAGAGAAGGAAAGACTCTAACCATATGACTTTTATAAAAATCCTCTCACTTTTTCCCTCCCCATTTGAAAACATTTTAAGAGTGAGTGTAGCTGGAACACAACCGTGTCCAACCATTTACCCGTCACCACGTTTCCAGATGTGTGACCAGAGGAGGGAATGCCCGATTCCAGTTGCCAGTCCCTTGGAGTTTACATCACTTGTTTTTCAGTTTTCAGTTCTCTATTTCTTCCTTCCAAAATCCAGCATAGGCCTCAGTGTATAAACAATAATTTTTAAACAAAGTCTCGAGTTACTTAGCTGCAGGTGATGGCCTCAGTCAGTCTGGAATGAGAGTTTGCTCGTTAACCAGTAACTTGTAACTTCCGTAAGGAGCATTCACAACCCAAAGCAAATGTTTGCTTCTCACCCTCTTGCCCAGCAGGAGAAGACCAAGTTGTAGGGGACAGAGGGAAAGTTCACTGAATGTCTGGTGGCATGGAGATAGCGATTTGTTCACCTTTTGAGAATCATTTATTAAATAGAAGGGTGTCTTAGACTTCTGAGCTCTCCTAGCAAGGGCAGGGAAGCAGGGCTGTGAGTTCACAAGTTCTATGCTAATTAACTTTTAGTAATGACACATCCCCACTAAAATTGATAGAAGGAAGTACCAGAGAGGTGCTTTAAAATAGTATTTCAGGTTAAGATTCTATGTTTGGACTTGCAGATATTGTGTACAGAGCCAGTATATACCAGGACCACCAGCCTAGGAGGGTGAAGGTGCTTGAGAACAGGCCTGTAGCAAAGAAAAAGTGGGAGATCAAGGTGTACCCATCCCTATCCTCCTCATCTCTAGCCTCCTGATACCCAGCAGAAACCAAAAAAAAAAAAAAACCACTGCTGTCGAGTCAGATCCGACTCATAGTGACCCCTTCTTGGGTTTCCAAGGTGGTATCTTTATGGAAGTAGATTGCCCAACCTTCCTTCCAAGGGGTGGCTGGTGAGTTTGAACAGCCAGGCTTCTGGTTAGCAGTCAAATGCCTTAGGCACTGTGCCACCAGAGCTCAGCAGCCTGTCAGGGAAGATTGACAGGCTCTCTCTCTCAGGCCTCACCTCCGTGTCCACCTGTAGGGGTGCAGTGTGGCTTTAAACTCCAGCCTTGTAGAGAAGATCCTCCAGGCAGCTTGTCTGTTGTCCAGTTCCCTCAATGTCTGGTGTCCCTGCCCTACATAATTCAGGGATTAGAGTTAAATTCATCTGTCATTTTCTTCTTTGGAGACTGTG